TTCAATATGTTGGATTTTTTGTCCCATGGCCTTGAAAGCTTGATTCCTTGCGATATTGGTCGGCTCTCCCCACTTCTATATAAATAGACAATACAATGCAAACAAAGGAATACACATACACTGCCTAGAGAAGCTCTACCAAATTTCATAAAAAAAAATCTCAAACTTGCAAACTTCGAAAGTAGATCTTCCAGCGTTCCTCCATCAAAACCAGTCATGCAATTGTGTTCTTGAGCATCCAAGGACCCCTCTAGAGCCTAGATTCAAGCCTCACACGTCTCAGAAGCCCTTCATACAAACTCACCGGTTTGGTAAAATCTCTTGCTCCCAAAATCTTTAAATCCTGTAATTTAAATCCATGTTACGTATGTATTCATGTTACTGATGATATTTGGATGAGAACTAACGTGTTACACACAAGTTTGGACGCAGGGATGGGATCGTGCCATGGTTAGGGCATAATCTGAATTCATGTGCGAATAATATGATACAGGAACTGGTTGCTTGTTTTAAGCCTGATTCGAACTCATTGCGTATTTTTACATAGGATAGGCCTTTTGTTAGTCATGAATCTAATGTTTTTTGCATGTTTTGGATTTTGTCCGATCGGAGAAGACGACCGGAGTTTGACTCTGATGTCTCTGACTTTAGTTGTCCCCGATAGGAGCTTGCGTATCAAAGCCCAACTCTTTGATTCGTTCGTTTAAACAGCAGAGGACCCACCGAGCGCATGCTTTATTATTTAAATAATTTTAAAACGAGTTTTGTAATATAATGCTTTGTTTTGTTTGTACTAATGGATGAACACGTCACCCCAGTGGCAACACACGCGCACTTAAGGCTTACCCCTGCCAGGTCCTGGGTTCGATCTAGGCAGGGAGTAAGTTTTGTTATTTTTTCCATTTTCCTCTAACGTTTGTTTTGCAGGTAAGTCAACGCCCGAGCCTTCTCATTTCTTTGGGCCTATGAATTTCAAATTCTCACCCCCTGTTTACTCTTTACAGCGAGACCCATTCTTTTTTCTAGTTTGTTTTGTTTAATTTATTTTCCTTTTTAACTAATTTCATAAAAATCATAAAAAATCATAAAATTAAAAAATCACAAAAAATAATTAGACTTTTATTTTCATTAATTAAATTAATTTCAATTAATTATTTTTAATCATTTTCTTTCTTTAATTAACTAATTAATTAGAATTAGGTTTCCATAAATTTAATTTAAATATTTTCCTAAAAACAAAAAAATAACAAAAAACATTTTCTTTTTACCACTTAAAATTTTTAGATTCTCTTTACATCTTTCTCTTTTCTTCCCTGCGCGTTTATCAATTCGCATTATTTTCACAATCATGTAATTGTACATGAGATATAATAGACTTTAACTAGGACCCTTTTACTTTTCATTTCCCATTTTTGGTTTGTAATTCCCCCCATCCCGAAGCGATGTAATAGTGTAGATTCATTTCCCACACTTTATTTCCCGTACTTATATATAATTGACTACTAGATGTATGCTAATAGGTTTGTATGGAAAGACTAAAAGAAAACACTAGAAAACCTAACCCTCAAGATAAACATAACTGAAACATAACACACTCACACACATGTACCTCTAAGGTACCTCTACTTGTTGCCTTCGGAATAAATAGTCACGTCTCTCAAACGTAGGAGATTTTAGCAGTGACCCTTTGGTTATAAGATTATAAGTCCCTCGATGACCCTTTCGACGCTGCCTCGGTAAATGATCTTAAAACCCTAGAGTAATTTCTAAAGTATCTTATGAGTTGCCTTCGTGACTGTACAATGACCCTCGCTTGTCCCTAAAAACATCCAATGATAGCGCTACCTACTGATTAATAGTAGGATAACAATGTCTAAAGGAGAAGAGGAAAAGAACAAAGATTATTCGAGTAGGTAGACCGCTTATAGTTGCTTGCTCATAAAAACAAACAAAACAAATTTTCACACATACACAAACTTTTCTCTAAAATATTTTCAAAGAGAAAACACTCTATACACATTCTCAATGATACGAGAAACATTACAAAGTTCTCCGTACTAAGGCGTCTTTTCAAAAATATTTTCAAATACCCTTACATAAAAAAGCATTTTCAAAGTGAGCTAGCAACTAAGTGCCCGTAGATAATTACAGATGGAAAGGGTGCTAACACCTTCCCTTTCCTTAACCCACCCCCCGAACTCAAAATATTTAAAAAGGTCTTTCCTATTCTTTTCACCCTTTCCTTTGTTGGGTAAAAGAAAAGTCGGTGGCGACTCTTACTAACCGCAACATTTGCGATAAAACGTAAAAACCAGTAAAGTCAGTTCTCATACCGTATTACAGTAGGTAATTTAAACTCTCATGAACAACTTTGTCAATATCTTGAATGATTCATGTTTCCATCTTGGTGATTTCCTTTTTTAATCTCTCTGTGAGCATAAGTTTTCAAGGCTATTTGGCTATTTTATAAATTTTTGATCCTAAGGCTAATGATACTTTTGGATTTGTCAAGCATTTTCTTTTTGAATTCTCCTTCTCTCTTTGGTTTTTAAGCATTTGGAGAGACTACATGTTTCTTTTTCATTCTTTCTTTCTTTTGTGATGTATATTCTCTCCCCAACATTATCTTTTTCTTTCTTTCTTTTTCAAGCATTAGTTTTTCTTTTTGTTTTACTTTTGAAACCAAATTTTCAAGAGCTTTGTGAATTGTTTTTCAAGTACTCTTTTAAATTTCCAACAGGCTGGTTTTCTTTTGTTTCAAGTGGCATTCTTAGATCTGGATTAGTTTTTCAAGTGTTCACTCAACTCACCGGTTTATGTTGAGGCTCTTTGGTTAAGTGGTTTATCTCAATTGGAATAGCCTTTATTTGATGCTCCACAAAAAAGTTTGCATGGTAATTGTTTATAATCTACATGAATCAACCGAGTTTCAATCAAAGTTATTCATACTCATTTCTTTTTGTGCACAATAGAAGGCTTCTCGCTTTTCTTGTTTATCGGCTATATGATTCAAGCAAGATAATATGTGTTTGTAAAATTTAAGCATGAAATTATTTTGTATAAACCATTATTTCAAAATCATGCTATCATTCTACAAAGCTTTAAAAACATGTACCTTTTCCTTGTGCATTTTTCCCAAAGTTTATCATTACCACTCATGTTTTGTTGAATTTGTTGAAAACATAATTTTTGCTTCTCTTTGAACACTTTTCAAACCTTGATGAGTAAAGTAAGTGCATTACAAGCACAAATATGTAGTAGTTTTTTTCAACATAAACTCAATATAACAAACGTTAAAATAACCAAGTACCAAGTGATGTTATGGTATTAATACCTTCCAAAAGGATTACAATAAAAAACTAAATCGAAATTCTAAACAGGGTGTCACAAACTGAACTGAAATAACTAGCATAAAATTACTAAATGCAAAATGCACTATGATGAAAGCTTTTAAAAATATCACTCATTTAATGGAGAGATCTCAAAATTGTCTCCTTTTCTTCACTCCCCACCCATGTCTTTATCGTCACCGGCTTCAGACGCCATTTTTGATCCTCCTGATGTTCCTGCTTCATCTCCTGCTTCCTCTTCTTCTTCAGCATGTTGCTCATCACCATCCTTATTTTCATGTCCAGCTCGAACTTTTTGTAGAGCATCAAATCAAGGCTATTACAATTGAGAAAAACCACTTAACCAAAGATCCTCAACATAAACCGGTGAGTTGAGTGAACACTTGAAAAACCAATCCAAATCCAAGAACACCACTTGAAATAAAAGAAAACTAGTCTACTGAAAATTTAAAAGAGTACTTGAAAAACAATTCACAAAGCTCTTGAAAAATTGGTTTTAAAAGTAAAACAAAAAGAAAAAACAAATTCTTGAAAAATAAAGAAAGAAAAAGATAAAGTTGGGGAGAGACTATACATCACAAAAGAAAGAAAGAATGAAAAAGAAACATGTAGTCTCTCCAAATGCTTAAAAACCAAAGAGAGAAGGAGAATTCAAAAAGAGAATGATTGACAAATCCAAAAGTATCATTAGCCTTAGGATAAAAAATTCACAAAATAGCCAAATAGCCTTGAAAACTTATGCTCACAAAGAGATTCAAAAAGGAAATCATCAAGATGGAAACATGAATCAATCATGATGTTGACAAAGTTGTTCATGAGAGTTCAAATTACCTACCACCACAAAAATTGCTTCAAAAAGAAATCTTCATCATCTTTATGAAGAATGAGTGATAGGATGATTTAAAGAAAACATATATGGTTTATTTTGTTGATTGGATAAAATGATCTTCGCATAGAAACATTATTGCATAATCATGCTTTAATTCTATCAAAGCTTTAAAAACATGTATCTTTGCCGTGTGCATTTTGTCCCAAAGTTTATCATTACCACTCATGTTTTGTTGAATTTGTTGAAAACAAATTTTTTGCTTCTCTTTGAACACTTTTCAAACCTTGATGAGGAAAGTAAGTGCATTGCAAGCACATATATGCATCAGTTTTTTTCAACATAAACTCAATATACCAAATGTTAAAATAACCAAGTACCAAGTGATGTTACAGTATTAATGCCGTTAAAAGGATTACAACAAAAAACTGAACCAAAATTCTAAACGGAATATCACAAACTAAACTGAAATAACTAGCATAAAACTACTAAATGAAAAATAATCTATGCTTAAAGCTTTTAAAAATATCACTCATTAATGGAGAGCTTTCAACATTGTCTCCTTTTCTTCACTCTTCACCCATGTCTTCATTGTTATCGGCTTCAGACGCTGTTTTGGATCCTCCCGATGTTTATGCTTCATCTCCTGCTGCCTCTTCTTCTTCTTCAGCATGTTGCTCATCATCATCCTTATTTTCATGGCCAACTGGCTTCCCTTGACAAAATGGCTTGTCCCTAGGCCACACAATGTGCGTCCGAAATTCCTCCAGAGTCATGAAACGATGGCTTTCATCAAACTTCCCTCCTGGATAAATGTGCAACCTCTAAAAAGAATCATGTAAAGAAAGAGCTGTCCTATGATTAGAATCGTTTTGATCCCAAATATAGGTGAAAGCTTGGCGAAGTCTCGGATCCCAATCAACATAGTTCAGAGTGGATGAAGTCTGCCCTGTTTGGTCTTCTTGCCTTTTTTTCTTTTTCTTTTCCAAGAAATACCTCTCCATATATGTGTCACTAACCTTGGTTTTGATTACAAATGGTATTACATTGGGAAGCCTTACTTGAGAAGCAATGATCAATCCCATGATGAGACTGGGATAAACAAGAGGATGAACGCTTCTAGTTTCATCCCCAAATTCCTTACCTCTTTCTGCAACATTTTTCATTTCAGTAGAAATGATTTGACCGATATCAACTCGCCTACCTGACATGAGCAAATACAGAAGCTGAGTTGTATCCATTGTGAAGATGGAAGTGTGGCTTCATGGTTGGATATTGTGCAGGATGATCAAGAGGAGAACTTGAGCTTCCAAGATTGAATTCTCCCTATAATATCTAACTACTATACCATATGGATTCCTTTCGACTTCCCTACCTTCCAAAAGAATTTTCTTAGAGATCATTGCTTCATTGGGTGTCTTATTAATGGATTATTGATAACAGTATATTTTCCCTTCTTGCAAGCCAGGAGTTCACAAAAATTCATTAATCATATCCCTATGGAATTGAATCATTCTTCCCCCAACTTTGGTTGAGAAAGAGAAGGAAGTTCCTTCTGAGGGAAAGGCGTTGGCATAGAATTTCCGAAGTACCCCAGTGTTGATTTTATGATGGGGATTCAAAAGCTTATCCCATTTGAGGTTGGTCCATATAGCAGGTAAGGACTTGTAGGTTCCTTCAGGATTGATATCAAAGATTCTTTCATACCAGATGGATCTTCCCATTAGTTCCTGATACCTTTCCTCTTGTTCTGGTCCGATGAATCTTGTCTGGTCAAAGGTTTGTTGTTCTCTTGAAGTTCTCGCCCCTGAGGTTTTCTGTTTCTTTGAAGCCACATTTCTATTTGGATCCATACCTGCAACACAAATCACCAATAAATTAGTCTGTTAAGACACTAATTTTTATGCATTAGGACATGTTCTGGAAAAATAATTTTTGACAGACTTCTGTTTCCTGATTATTTTCCTCTTTCTGTTGAACCAAACATTGATGCTAATACTTTGTTCATTCAGTATGTTTCAGTTTATGTGCATATCATAAATATCAAAGAGCATATCAAGAAGCATATCTTAAAAATCATGTGCTAAAGAATATGAAAGTTTCAACCATGGATACCCACCAATCTAAACATTAGAATCTCAGAAGGAAAATTAGTAGCATGTACAAGTGGCAGATCTAAAAACTTTGAAAGAAAGAATATAGCATATACAAGAGAAAAATTATAATATCTAGAGATGTCACATACCCGTTATTTGCTGCAAAAAATGGATATGAATAAGAAATTAGGGTAGTGTGAAAAGTGAGTAAAGTGAGGGAGTGAAAGTGTGAATTGAAAAGTGAGATAAGTGAAGAGTTTTCTAGGGTTAGAGAAAGAGAGAAATGAAAAAATAGCAAAAGACAGGGCTATAACTGTGACACAAAGGTGTGGCAGGTGAGTAGGTGGTGCTTTTAATGGTCATAAAGATATGTTTTACCACCACATGTTCACTTCACGAGTAAAGTTCTCTTAGCAAACTTTCTGGGCTTAGATGTTTTCATCATGAACTGTTGTTCGCTTCGAACTATGCAATTCCAGAATTATACAGAATTGTAAACCTATTGCGCCAAGGACCGTTAATGTAACCTAACATAAAAACAATAAAATAATTACAGAGTTGGGTTGCCTCCCGAAGAGCGTTTGTTTAACGTCATTAGCTTGACGCTTTACCACTTCCATGGTTTGTGTAATGTAATTGTGGTGGTGACTCGATCAATCTCACCAACTAAGTACAACTTCAATCTTTGGGCATTAACCGTCCAAGTTGCATTGGTGTTTGGATATTCCAGTTCAATAGCTCCATAAGGCTTAAGATCTTTTATTTGAAATGGTTTAGACCACTTTGATTTAAGCTTTCTGGGAAACAATCTTAACCGCGAATTAAATAGTAGAACCATTTTCCCCAATTTGAAGTCTTTGGGAAAGATTTTGTTGTCATGATATCCCTTCACTTTTCCTTGTATAACTTTGAAGATTCATAAGCTTTCAGCCTTAGTTCATCAAACCCATGTATTTATAGCTCTATTTTCACACCGGCTTATTGTGAATTAAAATTGAGAGATTTTAAAGCACAAAAGGCTTTGTGTTCTAATTCAACCGGTAAACGGAAAGCTTTACTGTATACCATCTGAAATGGAGTAAGGCCTATTGGTACTTTTTATGCAGTACAATATGCCCAAAGAGCTCCATCAAGCTTTAATGACCAATCTTTTCGTGAGGTTGAAACTGTTTTTTCCAAGATTCTTTTTACTTCGCGATTAGATACTTCCACTTGTCCATTTGTTTGCAGATGATATAGTGATTCTACCTTGTGCTTGACACTATAATGTTCAAGAGCTCTCGCAAGTTGTGTGTTACAAAAGTGGGAGCCTCCATCACTAATAAATATTCTTGGTGTTCCAAATCTTGTGAAGATGTTTCCTTTTAAAAATTTCACCACCGTTTTACTATCCCCGTTTGGTGATGCTATAGCCTCCCCCCACTTGGATACGTAATCAACCACAACCAAGACATATCCATTGCTGAAAGAAGACGGAAATGGTCTAACAAAATCGATCCACCAACAATCAAATACTTCTACTTCAAGTATTCCTTGTAACGACATTTCATTCCTCTTAGAAATTCCACCATCCCTTTTATAATTATCACAATTTTTGGCATGTTCATAAGTATCTTTGAATAGAGTAGGCCAATAAAATCCTGCTTGTAATACTTTGGTGGCTGTTTGTTCTCTGCTATAGTGACCCACATATGGTGAATTATGGAAATGCCATGTGATGCTTCTTGCTTCCTCTCTAGAAACTCACCTTCTTAACAATCCACCAACTCCGATTTTAAACAAATACAGATCATTCAATATGTAATGAGTGGAATCATGCAATGATTTCTTCTTTTGTTTCCAATTGAGATCTTCAGGAATAAGTCTGGATGCCTTGTAATTTGCAAGAACCGCAAACCATGGCCTTTCCTCAATCATGAACAACTTTTCATTAGGAAATTGTTCAAGGACTTCTCTTTCTTCCTTTGTTATTTCAGGATTTACCAACCTTGATAGATGATCCGCAACCATATTTTCAGTTCCTTTCTTGTCGCATATATCTAAATCAAATTCTTGCAAGAGAAGCATCCATCGGATTATCCTTGGTTTTGAATTTGTCTTATTAGTCAAGTACTTGATTTCTGCATGGTCAATATAATAGATAATCTTGGACCATATGTAATAAGACTGAAACTTTTCTAATGCGTACACTATAGCAAGTAGTTCTTTTTATGTGGTTGCATAGTTAACTTGTGCATCATTTAGCACTTTGATTTCATAGTGTATAGCATGATTTTTTTTGGTTTTTGTCTGTCCTAAAACAGCCCCGACCGTGTAATCACTTGCATCACACATGAGTTCAAAGTTAATTTTCCAATCTGGTGCAATGATTACGAGTGCGGTACTCAATTTTTTTAGACTTTCAAAAGCAATTAAACAATATTTATAAAAAATAAATGACTTTTCTTTGTTGAGGAGTTTGCTTAATGGCTTTGTGATCTTTGAGAAATCCTTGATGAAACATTGATAAAATCCGGCATGGCCAAGGAAGCTTCGGATCCCCTTGACATTGGTTGGTGGTGGTAGCTTTTTAATGACATCAACCTTAGCTTTATCCACTTCAATTCCTTTGGCTGAGATCTTATTACCAAGAACAATGCCTTCGATCACCATGAAATTATACTTTTCCAATTTAATACAAGATTCATCTCCATACACCTTTTCAGTACAATGTCCAATTTATTCAAGTATTATTCAAACGATTCACCAAACATGGAGAAGTCGTCCATGAATACTTCAATGCATTTTTCAATCAAATCTGAAAAAATGGCCCCATACATCTTTGAAATGTTGCGGGTGCGTTACATAAATCGAAAGGCATTCTTCAGTATGCGAATATATTGAATGGACAAGTGAAGGCTATTTTTTCGTGATCTTTGGGATTTATGGTGATTCGGTTGTATCCGGAATATCCGTCTAAGAAACAATAAAATTGTTGCCCGGATAATATTTCTAACATTTGATCAATGAATGGAAGTGGGAACTGGTCTTTCCTGGTTGCTTGATTAAGTCTCCGATAATCAATGCACATACGCCATCCGACTACAGTCCGGGTTGGAATCAACTCATTTTTCTTGTTTGTTATCATCGTCATACCACCTTTGTTTTGTACTACCTGCACATGACTTGCCCAAGCACTATCTGAAATTGGATAAATCATACATGCCTCTAATAGCTTGATGAACTCTTTTCGTACAACTTCTTTCAGCATTGGATTCAAATGCTATTGTGGTTGGGAATTTGGTTTGAAATTCTCTTCCATCATGATGTTGTGCATACAATCGATGGACTGATTCCCTTTAAATATGACAATACCCAACCTATTGTGTTTTTAAATTTATCTAGGAACACGTATTTCAAGTCATGGCTGGTCAAATTTATTAATTATCACATTTTTATGCATTCTTCATCGAGGAACACGTATTTCAAGTGATCCGATAATAACTTCTATTCTAATTTGGTTCTCTTCACCATGGATTCTTCTTTCAATTCCTCAATTTTTGCTTCTTTGAACGATATTTCTTTTGCTAAATCCAGATCGGCTAAGCATTGATTAAGTTCACTTTCTTCCTCCAGATCAAGAACTTCAAAGACAACCATGAGGGCTCTTTCTAACGGTGCTGTCAAGTGTGCTTGTTTTTGTACTTTCAAATTTTCCTCATCAATTTTATCAACTCTAAAACAAGTTCCGTTGTCCTTGGAATGTTTCATTGCGTCAAAGAGGTTGAAGCTGACTTCTTCATCTTGAACACGTACTTTCATTAAATCATCGTCAATATTAATCATCATGCGTGCGGTTTTCATGAAATGACGCCCCAAGATCAATGGAAAATCATCATCTTCCTCTATATCCATAACAATAAAATCAATAGGAAATAGGAATTTATCTACCTTGAATAGCACGTCTTCAGCTATATCAGATGGTTTTGTGACTGATTTGTCGGCCAATTACAAAGTCATCCTTGTATTCTTCATATCCAAATCACCAATTCTTCGTATGACTGAGAGAGGAATGAGATTGGTGCTTGAACCAAGATCCATTAAGGCTTTTCTAATGTTTATGTTTCCAACTGTGACTGGTAACGTAACCCTTTCTGGATCTTTTT